CTTACCCAAAGCACTTAAAAGTGGTAACATGTTTAATTTGGAAAGACACATCAAGAATTAATATCCAATTGCCATTCTCTTATATCTGGTATACATTCTGTCACAAAAGAAAATGTGTGTCTCCTCTCTTTCCCCATTGGAATTCCGGAAAGAGTATTTTTAGCTGAACTTTTCCCACCTTATGCCTTCTTTTCTTCAGAGCAGAAGTAATGAAATCCTAACACCTAACATAGAATATTGATATCTGTGAGAGAACATACTAATGTCATACTTCTTCAGGAAAAAGAGGCCAGGCCTAGTTCGTGAGAATCTTATTGAATATTTATTTTCTAATTTAATTGGATAAAGTTATCTTAGCCAATGACCAGTTTCCCCAGGGAAACAGAATTTTGGAGCTCAGACACTAACTTCCTTTGTGAGCATCTTCAATTTTTTTATCTTACCTCTGCCATGGTATTTTGGAGCTGCATAATACAAAGAAATTTAGCTCACCAAATACTTGCATTGGCTTTCAAAATGTTTATGGCGGCTTCTGCAGCTCTATGCTTCGCCAGCTTCTTACTTGTACCTTCACCTGAAGTAAGGTGGAAAGAAAGAAAGAAACAAACAAAAACAACCACAAAAAACCTCTTTACTTCTTGTAAAAACATGTGGCTTACATAGACACCATAAAAGAAAAGTCACTACATACATAAATATACACACATACACTACACACACAGGCAATTATATATATATATATATATATATATTCTACATAGTTATATATGGTAATAAGATATTTACCATATGAAATAAATTTTGGGTATTAAAAACCAAAAAAAGTTCTGTGAATTTAATTTCTGCATCCCTGTATAAAACCCTGATCATTTCTATATTACATGTTTACCACACAAAATCGCAATTAATTATACAATGTCATAACTTTCAAGAAGTGCAATTTAGTAATCTACTCTTCCCTATTCCTGGAGGGGAAATTCTGGCAACAAGGTAATATTAAAATGCACACTATTTAATTTTGACATCTTGTCTCCTATTCCAGGTGAAGCGGTCATGACCACATGCTGGGAACACACAGAGCTCTGTGACAGAAGGTGACAGCTTCCATCATGTGTCTTCCATATAGTCTGTATCTCTTATTTTGGTAGAAAAGAGTTTCCTCATGATAGAACTAGAATCTAAATTTCACTAAGAAATCATACTTGGTTTGGTAAACTCCATCTTTTTTCCTTTTGACTTCAAACCATCATGGAATGAGTTTCAAATGTGACCCTCAAGTGTCAGAGGGTCATTCAGACATTAACACAGGCGTTAGGGACATGGAGGAGACCCTGCCCTCAAGAACTGCCAGACTAGTGTGGGATTTGTTGCTACACAGCTGAAATGTGGAGGTTTATGTGTTAAAACAAGCTGAAGTGTCTACTGCAGGAAAGCACACAAAAGCAGTTAAAAAAGAAACGGGTTGGTCAGTGTGTGCTTTCCAAATTTGAATGTGCACAGGAACTGCGTAGGAACCTCATTAACACGGAATCTGACCCCTTGCAACTGGGGGGGCCTGAGGTCCAAGAAATGCTCAGGTTAACTTCACCTTAAGAAGCAAGGTTCTAAATCATGCCAGAAAACCTCTATCCAGAGGGTGACAGGGCAACCCTGGATGGAGGGGACAAATGTGACCGCTTAGAATGCTCTGGTGGTTGTGTGGGAAAGGACCGGGGCAGAAGAGGACAGAGCCTCCACAAGGCTGTTGGTCCCTGTAATCCCAGGAGGAGCGGGGAGCAAAGGGAGGAGCAGCAGATTCCACAGCTGGCCCAGGAGCAGAGGGAGGGGAAGGGGTCAGGACCAGCTGAGATTTACAAACACCTCTCCAAAGATGGTTACTCAGGGGGAGCCACTGCAGGGGAAAGAGGGAACACTGCACGGTGCCTTTTGATCTTCCCTATGTGGAATCAGGGGCAGCACAGTGGATGACAAGCTGCTGGAGAGCGGAGCTCCGCCAATTCTGGAGTCCTGCTCCCTGGCATCTCTCTATAATCAAAGTAAGAAACATGACAGTACCCATGGATCCAACTGGGCCTTCAGGAACCTACTCTGCTTCTTCCTAATCCTTGTAAGAACCACAGGAGGATTCCAGGTGGATGCCAGGGGGAACTGTTTACTTTCTGGGCTGTCTTGCTGGGGTCAGGGAACAGTGCGCCAAGAGAATCAGACCAACAGGGAAAGTTGGAATGGCCCAGGACTCAAGGTGTCAGTTTCAGTGTCTGCTCCTCACAGCTGTTTCTGGCAGAAGCCGCATCTTTCCAAGACGAAAAGCAACAGCCAGTGTGGACCGCTAACCCGCCTGGTCATCCATCGCAGTGAACTGTGCATACAGACCTGTGCAGGTGATGTCACCAACGGTTACTCTGAAGGTGAAAGTGGGCACGCGTATTTGCACATCGGATCGTTCGCATTCGTACACTGGGATGTTCTTGGTCTTCATGCCATATTCGTGCAACACCTGAATGGGCGTTTTCCCAGGCTTAGCTGTTATCATCTTTCCCAAACTGCAAAAAAATCAGACAGTCAGAGGTAGGTGTGCCTCGCTGGTCAAAGGGGGGAGGGTGGCACCGACGAGGCCGGGACGCACCTGTACTGCAGCCCGCTGAGTCAGTCACTGCCAAGGTCTGTGACAGATCTGGGGACAGGCAGGCTGGCAGGAGGGATGCCCAGGCAGGAGGGCGGGAGGGCAGAAGGGATGCCCAGAGAGCGGGGCAGGCAGGAGGGATGGCCAGGCAGGAGGGAGGGCGGGCGGGCAGGATGCCCAGGCAGCGGGCGATATGCCCAGGCAGCGGGGCGGGATGCCCAGGCGGGCGGGCGGGCAGGATGCCCAGGCAGCGGGGCGGGCCCGGCGCCGCATTCTCTCAGGACCAAGCCCCGCGCGCCGCGGCCACCCCAGGAGGGGCGGGTCCCGCCGCCGGCGCCGCAGGGGGACGGGCCCACGAAGGGGCTTCTCCCTGCAGGCCGCGAGAGGCCCCGCTCCGCGGCTCGAGCCGGGGACGCCTCCCCCGGGGGTCGGGCTGCAGTGGCTTCGCTCCCCCGCCGCAGGCCCAAGGGCCTGGCTGGCTTCCCGGGCACTGCTGACCTGAATGTTCCGCTGTCCTCGCGCTCCAGCGGCGGCGCCTCGGCGCGATGCCTGCTTTGGGACATGGCGAGCAGGGAAGGCAGAGCGGTACGGCGCGGAGAGGCGTCCTCGCTGCCCGGGTGGGCTGGCTCCGAGACGAGCGCTGCAGCCGCAGCCGCCGCCACCGCCTCTCCCGACTGTCCGGCTCGCGTCCCTCGTGCGAAGGGGGCGGGGCCTCTGGCGGCCACGCCCCCGGCTCGCCAGTCGCCTCAGCGCTTCCCGGCGCCAAAGGGCCGCTTCCCGGGACTCTTGGGAAGACTCGGGGAGCAGGCCCGCCTCCTCTTCCGGCTGCTGCCAGCTCCCCTTCCCGCCGGCGGCAGCGCGGCCTACGGCTCCTGGGGGTACCGGCGCCGAACCCCTCAGCGCAGGGAAGGCTTGTTCGGGCTGGGGTTACGGTCTGAAGGGATGGGCCGGTTGAAGGAAGATTTGACAGTTCCAATGTAGAAAAGCCAGGCCCTGGAGGGAGTAAGGGACCTTCGGTACTTCTGCCCCGGAGGCTGCGAGCCGGGCCCTTCCGCCGCCAGGCGCGCCCCCTTTGTCTGCGGGCTGGTGGACGGAGGCCTGTCCGAGGACCCGAGGCCCACCCAGAGCTGTTTGTCCTCCCCGGAGTGGACGAGAGTAATGGCGTTTGCGTGGGGCAGCCAGCTGGCTTGGCCGACAGTGACTGTACGGGTCTCTCAAGGGATTTGTTCGCAGCCTGCGTGCAGGCCTGCTTGTGCCTACTTTGTAGATAAGGGTGTTTAGCTGGGCATTGTTTGGTCTGAGGGAGATTAGGAAAAGTAAGTGATAATGCAATTTTTAAAAATTGCAAATACATAAGTCCTTGGATACTCGAAAAAAAGATGGAAAGAATTCCAGGATTTAATGAAACTCTTATTTAGAAGGCTAAGCCTATAAGGTGTTTTTTTGTTTGTTTTTTGTATCATGCACCCCCTCCCGTATGTCCATTGATGACTGTCCAACAGTCATATTTTAATAGTGTAAGGTTCACAGAGCTATTGTCTGCATAACATCACTGTCCATTCAACCTTTCAACACAACCATTTGCTTCTGCAATTTATTGGTGTCCACAAAAACAAAAGCTCCCTAAAAGCAACCCACAACCCTACATGGCTTTCTTGAAAAGCTGCATAACTGAGATATTGATGATAAAATGGAACACAGCAGGACTCCCTCCTGTTCAGGCATTTTAGTCCCTGTGCCTGGCTTCAGTTTAAGTCGTCGTGTATGTATGTGATCATTGTTTCTTATTTATTCGTGCTTATTGAGGCTTTAATTTAGTGTTGTATGAAGATGCACATTGAATTGTTTCCTTAAAGTCTGACAATTTATTAACACTTGGGTTGTTCAACATGCAGAGAAGGAATGAAATGAAATACCCAGTGACCTGTTTAACCCTAAGGACGGCAGGCCACACTTCTCTGTTGCCGAGCTCCACGTGGTAGACTTAGGAAGGAATTTCCTTTGGACAAGGTCCACTATGGTTTGAATCCAGGACTAATGTTCGTGCCTGCGTTGCAATTGACATTGCTACTGGCAAGTCACTATCAACCGTGTTTCTCACCAAGGACGTTGGTGGTCTTTTTAACTTACTGTGTTTTTCCATGTGTATGTTAATGCTGTAGACAGCCAGAGCAAATTAGACCTTTTTTTCAGTGTATCGCTTTACACTGTTGATCTATAATTCATTACCTGAGCACATAAGGGGAGGCAGTGTGGTGAATTGTGTACTGGTAAACTACTTGGTGAAACCATGCTTTATTCTTTCCAAGTGTTTAAGATCAAGCCAGATTTAGTTCTGTGGCCTGATACTCTCCTTTGAAAATGGGTTTGTTATCCAGGGTCTGCAGTTGATGATGTTTTGACTTTAATATGTTTGCGGCTGCCACCAAGAGCTTCGTCAAGCAAGTTGGAGATGGAGGGAGATTAGTGCCGGTTCCCAGCCTCAGTGAAGCCGACAAGTACCAACCTTTAAGTCTGGTGGTGAAAAAGAAGAGATGTTTTCTGCTCCCTAGGTATAAATTTACTTCAACACCATTTACGCTGAAAGATATTCTCCTAGGGGACAGAGAAATTTCAGCGGGTAAGTGTAAGCGTTTGAGAGTGGTGACTCATTTAGCTGTATCATTAATAACTTACACATAGGTCACTTATCCTAGCTGCATTAGTAACGCTTGCACGTTGTCATTGATCAAAGAAACTTATTATGATCATCTCGATAAGATGAACAATCCTTAATGTTTATGTGGTATTATCGCATCTCTTATTGGTCAAATGGTTTTCAGGTGTGACAATGTGAAGTTAACTAAGTCAACATAGAGTAGGACATAATTATTTCTTCTAAAAATGAGATACTTTGTGGTCAAATGAAATAAAAAGTTTGCTTTTATTTGTCAATGACCACTTTGTCATTATAATTGGTAAACATGTATAGTAAAGCTAGATTATAAAATTCTGACAACTTATTGCTTAGAATGCTTGTTTTTCTTTCAACTGCACAGTGGACCTTGATTTTAAGGAGTTATGTTGACTGATCAAAAAATTCAGGTTCATTTTAAGTATTCTATTTGTTTCTTTTTGCTGTAAAATTGATTAAATGGCTGGTTTTGAGATTTATTTTACTTCTTTGAAAGGCAGAGTTAGAGAGGAAGAGACAGAGAAGAGAGGTCTTCCACCCACTGTTTCACTCCCCAAATGGCTGCAACATGCTTAGGGAGGCCAGGCTGAAGCCAGCATTTAAAATTGTCCTCCTGGTCTTCCAGAGGATACATATGAGCTATTCTTCCTGCTTTCCTAGACACATTAACAGGGAGCTGTCTCAGAAGTGAGTAGCCTGGACATGAATCCACACCTACACGGGATATCAGTGCTGCAGTTGGTGGCAGTCCACTAAGCCACAGCTAGTCCCAAACTGCAACTGTTAATCCAGATTTGAAATATTGTCTTTGTCATTAGCATGTGGATAATTGAGTCTTCAATTATAAATGAACATGTTGGCTGTTTATATAGGTATTCTACATAAGATGGATTTGAGACATTTAAAAATACTATATTCCTTCTTGTAAAGGTATTTCATCTTACCAATTATTGAATTATGAAGATGAGTCAGATCTTTCCCTGTACGGAAGGCGAGGTAACCACATGGTGAATGACGTTGGGATTAATGTTGCTGGGTCAGATTCCATTGCTGTGAAAGCTTCTTTTGGTGTAGTAACCAAGCATGAAGTAGAGGTATCAACATTACTCAAGGAAATTACTACACGGTCAGTATAATAATCCCCAGACACATCAGTGCTTATTAAATGTTTAAATATGTAATTATGAAGACTGCTTTAAATGCTTGGGTTGTCTCAGTGTTGGAGCCTGTTTGGAAAATAAACTATCTTGAAAAAAGTTCGGGTTTTGTTTTACTAGTATAATTTATTTGTTTGACTTGTTTGAAATGCTACAAATTAGCAATATATCCAAATTTTGGAAAATAATGGATATCCACAGTCATTTGAGTTAAACAAAATTTTGAACTTTTCCACGTAATCCTTTTGGCTCTGCACTCATTTGCTAAAATATCATATTGATATAAAGCAGGAATACTAAGATCTGCTCTGACAGACTTTCAACAGGCAGACAAAAGCGTTTTCTATGCTGTTCTGAATAGGATTTGGCTCACAAACTCATGGGGATTGTTAAATCCCAAAGTGATCAAAGGTATTAGCACTAAGAGGCCAAAGATTTAATGCAGTCCTCACTTCTGGGAGGTAGACCTAATGCGAAGGCCTTAGGTGCCTGGAGGCAAACCCTGGAATGTTCTGAGAGGGTTGAGCTGTGCCACTTAGTACCTCCTGGCTTGCCACGTGATTGTTCCTTTACACATACTCTCACTACTATTGCCATCCTCCGACCTCCCTATTAACTGAACCAGGGAGTCTCACCAAGTCTTGCAGTATGAACCTCCCAAACTGTGAGGCATGCAAACTTATTTTCTTCATAAAATGCTTCTCTCAGGTATTTTGGCTATAGTGACAAATAGCTACTGTAATTTATAATCATGTTCTAAGGAAACAGAAAGCAATGTAAGATTATTAAAGTCCCTTTGGGAGTATTTTCTGATTTGGGTCAGACCTCTGTTGATTTGTTTTAGTTAACTTGGCCCGTGAGTAAATCACATAGCGGCAAAAAATAAGACTAGATTTAAAGTAATTCGATGTTAAGCAGTCTTTTGGTAATATATCTTCTTTATTTTAGAAAAATTAACTTTGACCACAGTTTGATCCGTCAGTCAAGGAGCAACAGAAAGGCGGTGTTGTGTGTGGTTATGGAAAGCATTCGAACGACAAGACAGTGCTCTCTCTCTGTACATGCTGGGATTCGAGGCGAAGCGATGAGGGTGAGCCCCGTTCGGCCAGCTCTACCTACCAGCTAGAAAGTTGCCGTGGGAAATTTTTCAGAGTGTTCAGATTCTCATGAAACTTGTGCATGTTATCAGATGTTGAGATGAAAGAGTTGCAGTTGCAAAGGATTTTGCTGTTAGGGCTTTATTTCAGAATATTAAGAAAAATCCAAGAAGACTGGATTCTAAGCGTATGTAATATAGTGCAAACAAAACGCTAATCCTTGTGAAATAATGTGCACACATTATTTTTGTTTGAAAAGCAAAACTGAAATACTTAAGTTGAATTCTTTGACTTAATTTTAGGTGATAAAGAACTACTTTGAATTTTTAAAAATCAAACTGCTTCTTCTGCAGGAAAATAGAATTTCTAAGTTAATATTATCAATGGCAAACATGCTTTATTCAATGTTAAATATCTGTTTAATTTTCTTATCAGCCATGATTTAATTTATCGTTCAGCGGCGTCCAATGATGGTATGATTGGATTAAAACCAATTAGGGAGCGCAATCATCTCACTTCTTTGCAAGTAAAAATTATTTTTGGTGCCTATATTCAGCTGCCCACAAAACTGATTAACATTGGATCTTTGTGAAGCTCAAGTGAAATATTTATTTGATTAGGAAAATAGGTTGATGTTTGCTTTGGAAAGCTGCTGAAAATTCTGAGAGTTTTGGAATAGTGAACACTTCAGGATAAACATGCCAACTCTGGCATTTAAATAAAGTTGCTTTCTGAAATTTGCAGTTGAATAGTTGAATGAAAAAGCTTCCATTTCAGAGTGCATTGTTGCTAGGATAGTGCTTGCCAGGGGTTCAAGAACTAAAGCAAGTGAAAATGTGAAGAAGTATTTTGTAATGTAAATCATGAGTCTACAGTGGACTTCTTGGAGCTCTAAACAGTTTCATCAAAGAGAGGTGTCTGGTTGTTGGTTGCTAATATTTTGGCTGGGTATGTAGATATTTTGTTAATCCAAAAAGTTATTCTTCCATATTATTGTCCATAATGATGTTATCTTATTTACTATGTAATGTAGTTTCACTTTATGGATGAACAGAATCCCAAGGGAAGGGAAAAGGCTATTGTTTTTCCAGCACACACAACGATAGCTTTCAGTGTTTCTGAACTCTTCGTTTACCTGGATGGTGCCTTTGGTGAGTGAATGATATTCCTGAAAAACAAATATAGTTTTAAAGATAATTTAATGGTAAACTCTTTCTCTCTCTTCTTATATGTGTGTCTAATAGTTATAAAAATGATGTGCTCAGCATTGTCAATCTTATGTTGCATGAAGTAGCTGGGAAAGTCCCTCTCTTCCCTTCTTGCCCAGTATTTCTTATCTACTCCTTGGGGAAGGTATATAGTCCCCACCAACCACTGAGAATTGTGGATGAGAGCCAGCATACAATCCACTGAAAAAGCCTTTCTTGAATTTCATGGGGAGATAATCAGTGACCTGCTAATTAGTAGTCTTTGAGGACTAGTAGATAAAATCAAGCCTAAAGTGTCAGGGCACCTAAATTAGAGAAAAGAATACTTTTCTTGCTTCACTTTTGCTTGTCATAAACTCAGCATACCTGCATGATTTCCCAAAAATGAGGACAGGTGCTTTCTCTAAAATCCTCATCTAATGTATCTTAATTCTGGTCACTTTAATTTTCTACATGTCAAAGGTCTTTGGTCAGCTGTCAGAAGGCTGGGCAAGGGATTCCCAACTGTGATCATTTATCAACATATTTTGTCATGTTTTTGTTTCTGCAATTTTGTGAGAGAGAAAAAATAGGGAGTCTAGAAATAAAACTATTAGGCAAGTAAATTCTGTATGGAAAATTGAAGGTAGAGGTATTTATAGTCACATTGACTTAGGAATGTAAACTCTTATGACTGATACATTTTTCAAAACGGAAAGTGTACATACACTTTAGCTCTACAATTCTTCAAATGTACTCACACTCATGTGAAATGATGTGAGTACAAGGATACTCAATTCATAATAACAAAATGCTGGAAATATTCTTAAGGAAACTTGCTAAATAAGGGTATATCATGCAATAGAGTATAAAGTCATTGAGAGTGAGATAGCTCTATGGAATGATTTTTTACATATTTTTTACATAATAGGTAGCTATTTTGGTCTAAAAAACTATATACATACATAGATCCCACATTTTTCTTTATGTTTATAAAATGCACGGAATGTTTCTAGATGTCTAGAGGAGATGCTTAACAAGGCCTCCAGGTGTATTGGAAGAGTGTGACTGAGTTGCTTCTGGTCTTTTGGTTAAGATCAAATGCAGACTGTGCCTGGGTGATGGGGTGAACACTTATCACTATATACTTTTTTGTAGTTTGAATTTTATACCATGTATATGTTACTTTGTCAAAACATATGTAAAAATTAGCTTTAAAAAATTGCCATCATGACATATGCTAAAATTCACCACCACCATAGAAGACCTAATGAGAAGAATTTTTCATGTTATAATCTAGTTTTCTTCTTCTTTTTTTTTTTTTCGTAGACCTTTGTGTCACTTCAGTGTCAAAAGGAGGATTTGAGCGGGAAGAAACAGCTACGTTTGCAGTGCTGTACAGACTTAGAAACATACTGTTTGAAAGAAGTATGTGTAGGAGTATTTAGATGTCTTTTTTTTTCTTCTTGGCCTGGCCCATGAGGGCTTTCTGTTCCCCTGTTTATAAGTACAGTTTGGGTAATATACATTTTGACTTCTAACATGTGATTTTGTCTTTTTAGATAGAAGAGTGATGGACGCCATCTCTCGTTCACAGCTTTATTTGGATGACCTTTTTTCCGACTACTATGACAAACCTCTCAGCATGACTGATATTTCACTCAAGGAAGGAACTCATATCCGAGTTAACTTGCTTAATCACAACATTCCTAAGGGGCCTTGCATACTCTGCGGAATGGGGAACTTAAAAAGGGAGACGGTTTATGGGTGCTTTCAGTGTTCTGTGGATGGGCAGAAGTATGTGAGACTTCATGCAGTTCCTTGTTTTGATATTTGGCACAAAAGAATGAAATAAAACGAATAATGCCTTGCTCGTGTTTAAAGTGCAGTTTTGCCACAAGTCTTTCCTATATTACCTAGGTTTATTTTGATGAATCAAAAATGAACGTGTGTGGGCCTCACTTCCCCCCATCTGTGAAGTGGAGATGAGGACAATAGTGTCTGCCTCTTCTGAGGTGTGGATATTGGTTTGGGTGTCTCCCGAAGGCCCATGTGTTAAAACTTTGGTAAATGGCTGATGAAGTAAGACTGCAATCGTACACCATTTTTGTTGTCTAGAGGTGGCCTCATGGGAAAGCAGTTCCATAAGCTGGGGTTGCAGTGGGGAGCCCCCGGGATGGACCTGTGGGGGTTTTGTAAGGAGAGACCAACCTGATAGCAATGATGAGTGTCTTCCTTTCTCTCTGCTTCCCGGCTTGCTGCATGATTGCCCTGCAGCTTCCCTGCCATAGCCATGGAAAACCTCACAGCTGAGTCAGTGTGGCCTGCCTGATTTTGGACTGGGAGCCTTCCAAACTGTGAGCCAAAAGAAAAACCTCTCCTTTCTTCCTCAATAGCTTGTTTTAGTACTTCAGAAAGTTTTAAATATCAAAATTCCAATATAATTGTTTCTGCATGAATTTGTCACTTACCTTAAAATCATTTGTTGGATTTAGTGTACTGTTTTTTTTTTTTTTTAAAGATTTATTTATTTATTGGAAAGTCAGATATACAGAGAGGAGGAGAAACAGAGAAGACGATCTTCCGTCCGATGATTCACTCCCCAAGTGACTGCAATGGCCGGTGCTGCGCCAATCCGAAGCCGAGATCCAGGAACTTCTGCCGGGTATCCTGCATGGGTGCAGGGTCCCAAGGCTCTGGGCCGTCCTCGACTGCTTTCCCAGGTCACAAGCAGGGAGCTGGATGGGAAGTGGAGCTGCCGGGATTAGAACCGGCGCCCATATGGGATCCTGGGGCGTTCAAGGTGAGGACTTTAGCCGCTGGGCCACGCCGCCGGGCCCAGTGTATTGTTTTTTAGATAACATTTTACAGAGTGAATATTTTTTCTAAATATGTTTAATTAAAATGGATTTTATTTTTAATAAGTTTTTAATTTAACATTTGAGGCTAAGAAAAGCACACAAGTGGCAACACTATGTAGTTTTAGCTATTACCCTTGGTTTGATAAATGAGAAAAATGAGTTAATAATTTAACATCATTCTACATGTTTAATTGCGGTATCAAGTTAAAAGCACATTGTGCTCTGCGTATTAACTCCCTTTCCAAGTTAACGGGGTGACTGATACTGGGCTGCCGTTTTGTGATGTATATTTACTGTTTCGTCAGCCTAAAACTCACTACTATCATTCGAAAGTGAAGGCAGATAGGATATGTCTCTTTCCCTCTTTGAAAATGTTTAAAACATCTAATGTATTTTGTTCTGAAATATAACTTTCATCTATTTTGTCAGAAATATGAATTTTTCATCACAGATTGTGGCATGTGTTTGGCACAGCAGTTAAGCCGCATGAGATGTTCACATCCCATATCAGAATGCCAGAGTTCAAGTTCCCAGCTTTGCTAGTCCTTCCAGCTCCCTGCTCATGTATACCCAGGGAAGTAAAAGGTTGGAGACCCAGAGCCAATCCCTGGTGCCTCAGCTCCAGGAGCAGGCATTTGGGAAATAAACCAGTGGATGAGAGTCTCTTTGTCTCTGGCTTCTATATAATTTTTTTTTTAAAGAAACCTGGATTTTTCATCACAGCCTGGCTACCATCTATGGACTGAATTGTGGATAGAAGATCTCTCTGTAGCTATGAGTTTCAAATTAGAAAAAAATAAATCTCTTTAAAAAGTTATTGCTTGGGATCCTGTGGCTTAGCTGGTTAAGCTATTACCTGCCATGCAAGCAAACCATTTTAGTGCCAGTTTGAGTCCTGGCTACTTTATTTCCAAATGAGTTTCCTGCTAATGCACCTGTAGAAGATGCCGCACATGTTTGTGCCCCTGCACCTATGTGAGAAACCAGGAATGAGTTCTATGCTCCTGACTTCTATCTGGCCAGGCCTGGCCATAGCAGCTGTTTTGAGAGTAAACGAGCAGATGGAATGTCTTTCGCTCTATAATTATTCTACATCAAATATATATTAATATAAATATATATATAATTAATTTATTTTTATTGGAAAGACAGATATACAAAAAGGAGGAGAGACAGACAGGAAGATCTTCCATCCGCTGATTCCCCCAAGTGAATCTGCAGTGGCTGGAATGGCCAGAACTGAGCCAATCCAAAACCAGGAGACCAGAGCTTCTTCCAGGTCTCCCACACAGGTGCAGGGTCCCAAGGCTTTGGGCCATCCTCTACTGCTTTCCCAGGCCATAACAAAGGAGCTAGTTGGGAAGCAGGGCTGCTGGATTAGAACTGGCACCTATGTGTGGTCCCAGCACATGCAAGGCAAACACTAGCTGCTAGGTTACCACATTGGGCCCATAAAATCTATAATTTTTTCAAAACAACATAAAAGTACTTTGTATGAAAAATCAAAGGATGTAAAAGTTAGTTACAATATGTAGATTATGGGATGATTTCCAAGTATATATACTTTACAGTATCTTTGTGCAGAGTATATTGTTTTAAACAAATATGAATATACTCATCCAAAAAGATTCTACTGACATTTAAAGATGGATATAGAGAAAGGGGACAGTTTTCGTTTTTTAAATATTTATTTTTATTGAAGAGTCAGATTTGCAGAGATGAAAGACCGAGAGAAAGAACTTCATCCACTGGTTCACTCCCCAGGTGGTCACAATGGCCAGAGCTGAGCCAATCTGAAACCAGGAGCCCAAAGCTTCTTCTGGGTTCTCCACATGGGTGTAGGGTCCCAAGGTTTTGGGCTCTCCTGAACTGCTTCCCCAGGCCTCCATCAGGGAGCTGGATGGGAAGTGGAGCAGCCAGGATGCACACCAGCGGCCACATGGGATCCTTGCGTGTGCAAGGCAAGGACTTTAGCCACTAGGTTATCAAGCTGGGCCCAGAAGGGAAATTTTTCAATACAAATGTAAGAATATTGTTATCAATTTATTTCTTGTTTTCATCATTCTTTATTTTTGACAATCTTTACATAACTTAATTTCAATAGAGCATTTTTCATGAGTAAAGGAATTCAATTAAGCAAATAAAAAACTTGAGTATAGGAGCAGGTATTTGGCCTGTCAAAGGGCCACGTGGGACACCTGTGTCCCACATCAGCATTAGGGGTCAACCTGTGCTTTTGACTGTCATGGCTCAAATGGCTGGGCTCCTGCCACAGCTGGGAGACCTAGATTGAGTTCCCAGCTCCTAGCTTTAGCCCCTAGGCTTTGTGCATACTGGGGAGTAAACCAGTGGATGGGCTCTCCCTTGCTGTGTTTTTGTTCCATAAAGAAAAAAGAAGAGAACGAAAATAGAGTATAGAAAAAAAAGAAATTCTTGGTCCCTGTGCAATAGCCTAGTGGCTAAGCCCTCGCCTTGAATGCGCCAGGATCCCATGTGGGCTCCAGTTCTAACCCTGGCAGCCCCGCTTTCCATCTGTGTCCCTGCTTGTGGCCTAGGAAAGCAGTAGAGGATGGCCCAAAGCCTTGGGACCTTGCACCTGTGTGGGAGACCTGGAAGAAGCTCTGGTCTCCTAGCTTTGGATTGGCTCAGCTCTAGTCATTCCAGCTACTGCAGATTCACTTGGGGGAATCAGCAGACGGATCTTCCTGTCTGTCTCTCCTCCTTTCTGTATATCTGCCTTTCCATAAAAATAAAGAAATCTTTTTTTTAAAAAGAAGAAAAGAAATTCTTGGGCCCAGTGTGGTAGCCTAGCAGCTGAAGTCTTTATCTTGCATGTGCCGGGATTCCTTATTGGTGCCAGTTGGTGTTCCAGCTGCCCTGCTTCCCATCCAGCTCCCTGCTTGTGGGCTGGGAAAGCAGTTCAGGACAGTCCAAAACCTTGGGACCTTGCATCGATGTGGGAGACCTGGAAGAGGCTCCTGACTCCTGGCTTCGGATTTGCTCAGTTCTGGCCATTGCAGCACTTGGGGGAGTGAATCAGTGGATGGAAGATCTTCCTCTTTGTCTCTCTTCCTCTTTATATACCTCACTATCCAGTAAAAATAAATCTTTAATTAAAAAAAAAAAAGAAATTCTGGGAAGGAAGAAAATACACAGGTAAGTTTTGTTGAGGGTCAGATTGTGTGGTACACCTATGTGGTACTTCTGTTGATTTCTGTGTTGCCCCTATATTTTAATTTTAAAGGTTTATTTTTTGATATGCATAAATTAAGGAAACAAAGAGCCTTGGTGGTCCAGGCTGCACCAGGCCAGAGCCAAGATTCAGATTCATTTGGGTCATGCATGTGGAGGGCGGGGACCACCCAAGGACTTGGGCCACATCATCTTTCTCCTAGGCATGTCAGCAGGTTCTGGATAGGAAGCAGAGTAGGCAGGACTTGCATCAGCACTCAGACATGGCAGTTGTCCCTGGGCAGTTGTCCCTAATGTGCTGTACCACATCCCCTCAAAACAATACATCTTATGTATTTATCTGTATTTGATGACATACACTGAATGATCACTCATGATTAGTGACAAGAATCCTACAATTAAGTGACATCGAAAAAGGGATACCTAGATAAAGGAACCAATAAGAAATTCCATGGCATCAGTTCAAAACAATCAGGATGAAAGTCAGGAGTGGTAGATACCCACAGAGGTCAAAAGGAGGAAGAGGAGAATACATATATAAATACCAGAAGAAGTGACACAGCAAAAGTGAAGACTTAATGCTTGGTATACGAAACAAAAGGTCTTTGGTCTGGTCAGGTATCTTTTTTTGTTGTTGTTATATTATTTTTTGGTATCTTTCAATATTTCACACTAAAAGAAATACCTAAGGCCGGAAGTTTGCACCAAAAAAGGCACACATTGTGTCAAAGTTCTCTGTAGACTAGTCTGCATAACCAATGTATTCTTGTATAGGTAACAGAAGAAGGCTGTTCAAGCCTATGGTTTTTAATCAAAATTTTTTTAAAAGGCAGAAAAATACATAAAGAGCTCCCCTCCACATTGATTCCCCAGATGTTTGCCACAGCAGGGTCGTGCCAAGCTGAAGCTGGGAGTCATAAACTCAGTGCAGGTCTCCCATGTGGGTGGCAAGGACTTCAGAGCGAGCTGGACCTGGGAGCAGAGTCAGGACTCCAATCTAGGCTCTGATGTGGGAAGCACGTGTCTTCAGTGATGTCTTAACTGCTGCACCAAATGCCTGTCCTCTATGAAATGTTAATTTCTGGGTCCATGCTGAATATTTAAAAAAACATGGGGCATTATAGCACTTAATATATTGAATTTGGATTATTTACACAGGTTGTTAAGATTAGAGTTGGGAAGATCTTACAGATTTTGATATTTGTGCTCTTGTATAACCTGAATGGGGGAAATCGTCCACTAGTACACAGAGGTCTATGAATATTTCATGGTGCTGCAATGTGTGTTCACAGAACGAAGCAGTAGGCAACACAGTCATCCTTTTCTGAAAGTTAACACTTGCAAAACAGTCTCACGTTTATTACTCCAAAATTAATATGTATTAAGGAGATCAAAATATCTTCTCATGGGGACAAATAGAAAAGACAACTTTGAAAAAAGTGTTATATATATATAAAATAGAGACTTTTTAACTGTAGCAATAAAACTCCGCTATAGTTCATCATGTTGGTATACGTTGTATTCCTTGGGAGAAATGAAGCCATCACCATTGTGGTCATTCTTCTTAAAAATGTCTTCTAAAACTGCATTCTGATATGACTCATCATGTGGTTTCCCATCTTTTTCAAATTCTCTTTTCAAGTAATCACTTATCTATAAGGACAAGATAACAGTTCTTTAATAAAATTCCAGTAACTTTGAGGGATGTTTACAATAATGAAACTCACATCCAAGGCTACTCTATAATTGATACAAAAAATTAAAGATATTTGAAATATTTTTAAAAATCTTTATTTTAAGAGAGACAGGTTTTCTTTTTCTTCTCTCTTTTTTTTAAATTTCATTTTATGACACAGTTTCATAGCTCTGGGATTCCCCCAACCCTTCCGCAAACCCTATACCCCACATTGTTAGAGTAGTACAGATCATAGCCAGCAAGTTCAGCATTTTATTCTTCAGATAAATTCAGCAGTTTCATTGGGAAACCATCCTGGTCTGAAAGTAGAGCTGGCAGATTGTTGGTTCATTGGTTACTTCACAATATCTTATTGCATGTGAGATAAGCTGCTTGAGGTTGAGATAATATTACATTTTACATATGCTGTTTTTCATATTGACATCATATCATCTTAAATTAAGGCAAACATGTGGTATCTAACCTTTTGGGATTGGCTCATTTCCCTTAGCATTATGGTTTCCAGTGGGGCCCATTTGGCCACAAAGAACTAAAAAACTCACTTTTTATGACTTTCATTATTGAATAAATAAATACAGATCAACATTTCTGTAATCCCTAAAATTAATGATTACATTGCATGATCAATAAAAGAGGATTAGCTTAGTATGCCACCTCCAACTTCTTTGTCTTATGAAATAAGGGTATATTGTCACTTATATGGTATGACTCATTGAAGTGTTATTTATAACTATGCTAAATGATATATTCATATAATTTTTATACTCTATTTTAGCTATCACAAGATAAGAGAAAACATGTAATATTTGTCATTTTGGGTTGGGCTTATTTCATTTAGCATAATGTTCTCCAGTTGCATCCATTTTAATTGAAAATGTCAGGATTTCAATTTTTTACAGCAGTTAATATCCCAGCAATGTATATATAGCACATTTTCTTTATCCAGTTATCAGCTGATAATTAGGTGGTTCTATATCTTATCTATTGTGATTTGAACTTCTATAAACATGGCAACACAGATTCCTCAAATACTGATTTCCTTTCCTTCAGTCATATTCCCAGGAGTGGGATAGCTGGGCCATATGGCAGTTCTGTTTTTCATTTTCTAAGAGATAGGAATCTTCATATTGTTTGAATTCTGAGGAATCTCTATACTGTATGAATTCTGGTTTGCTTATTTGGAAAATTCTTCATTTCTGCCTTTCTTGTAAATAAGGAAATTTCATTGATGCAATATTTTCTGTCGGAAGTGTTTTTCTTTCAAGACCTTGTATGTATCATTCCACTGTCCTGATCTGCAAGATTTCTGCTGAGAAGTCTGTGGTCAGTCTGATGATTTTTCTTTATATGTAACTTGACATTTTTGTTTCATTTCTTTACAGTTCTCTTCTTGTTTTTCACTTTTTTCCCCATTTTTAAAAAATTTTTTGACAGTTTCTGGACACTTAGCTCTTTACCAAATGGTCTAACCCACACAATTCAAATCTTGTTAGCTCTTTTCAGCACCTCATGTAATCCTCATAGTGCTGTGGGAGTTATTGCACGATAAAAAATTCTCACAGTCCCACATGAAAAAGAGATGTGTTCCGGTGGTCTAGAAACTGAAGACCCTGTAGACATGAGCACTTTGGGGATTTTAATGATCCACTTTTAGGGTGGAGGTAATTGACAAGATGACTCACAAGTTTCATGTTAGAAAAACAATTTTCTTTTCCAATCTTATTTTTGTTTTTAGTAACCAGCTCTATAAAAGCAGTGATCAGAGTCCATGATAGTTGTTAGAGCTAAAAAATAATAGTCATAACACACATATAAGTTGTGATGAGAAATGAGACTGTACACACCTCAGTTTTGGAGAGTTGTCTGTCATTGTCTGTGTCCACCTGTTTAAATGTTTCAATGCTCCGTGGCCCTTTGGTCACAGCATAAAGCTCGATCTCAAAAATCAATGTTGCATCAGGTGGAATCTTGCCTTCTGTTATGAACAAAATTTAGGTATTTAATTTACATGAGGATTTGGTTTAAATATTTATTCATGCCAGCTATAATGATACTATGATTGTATCAATTAACATTTCTAGGAATTATTTTCTACTATTCAAAAAAATTTTGTGTTTTTTTTAACCTTAATTTCCCTTAAGCTTTAAAAACATTTTTTTTAGTATTTTTAAACCAAGTTAGTTCAAAGGACCTATAGAACCACTTTCCTTATGCAAATTAATTTAGGTCACTTTTTTAAATTTATTTTTTTATTTATTTTTTTTTTAAAGATTTATTTTTATTATTTTTTCATTGGAAAGGCGGATATACAGAGAGGAGAGACAGAGAGGAAGATCTTCCGTCCGATGATTCACTCCCCAAGTGAGCGCAACGGGCCGATACTGTGCCGATCCGAAGCCAGGAGCCTCTTCTGGGTCTCCCACGTGAGTGCAGGTTCCCAAACCTTTGGGCCGTCCTCAGCTGCTTTCCCAGGCCACAGGCAGGGAGCTGGAAGGGAAGCGGGGCTGCCGGGATTAGAACCGGCGCCCATATGGGATTCTGGGGCGTGCAAGGCGAGGACCTTTAACCACTTGCGCCACCGCGCCGGGCCCGGTCACTTTTTTTTAATACGCACCTATCATTATATGAGATGGTACAAAGAGAGAATGAATACATAAAAATATTTCAAAGTATTCAATGTTTCAACTGATTTCCAGAAAATGGTTTTATTTTATTCTGAAGTATAAGTAAAAAACAAGCATCAATATATCTTTCAGATTCTTTGTAAACATTAAAAGTTATTGTAATAACGGAGAAATCCAGTAACAATTTTACGAAGAAATTTCCATTCATAATAAAAAAGTTTAAATATGAAATTGGGTAATTCTCTTTTAACAAAGTTAATCTCTTTGCTGATGTCACAGATCATTCAGCAGCTACTGGCTATTTCATAAATAGACATCTCATTAAAATGAGCTGTGAGCTGTAGCAATGACTTGCTAAGAGGCAATGGGTAGTGTGTATCTCCAGTATATTTCCAGAGCCTCACATGATGCTTGAAATATTATAAGTATTTGGATATTGCTGAATGAATGAGCCATGGTGTTTATCAAAATAACTCTCCTTGGAAATATACATCAATTTTGTAAAAATGAAAGTTGGAGAAATCCTGCTAGATATTTATATACTCCAAAGAGAAAAGAGATTGCAAGACAGAACCAAAAAGAAGTGGGTTCAGTAATTTTCAAGCCAGTATATGTAAAAAGCTACTCAGACATCATATTTGTAATGTGAAAGTCCTACCCCAATGCACCACATAATACCTGACCTGAAAGTAAAAGACCTGGAAATTGATTCAATAATCACTTTTACAAAGCCCATTCCTATTTATTCAGTAATCACTCCTTTGTGACATAAAAATAACTTTTGACAACAAAGGTAAGTTCAAATTACATAAGAAAAATTTAAATTATTTAAATATGGCAAATATAAAGAAAAATGTGCATTTGCTATAGAACTGTGTTATTTACAGAAGCAGATAAAAGAAGTAGGAGTTAATGTAAAGAATCTGTACATACCACAGACATCGTTAATTAAAGCATTAAAAAGTCACATGCATTTCAAGACATGCAGGAGTGCTCTGTGACATGAATCAAAGACATTTCGCAGATAAAAAGACTTCTTCAAGTACTACCTAAAATAAAGTATAGACAAGTTACTTTAAAAGCTTATTTAATCAAGAATTTGGTCAAGTTATATATAGCCTAATTTGCAACTTTTGAAATAATCTAATTCAAGCTATTATAATGTATGTAAGGATAGCAGTTAACTATGTTCCAGTGAACAGACTTGTTTCCTTACATGTAAAATGAAGGTTTTTCTTTACATGCAAAATGATTCTGCTAGTGAAATTTATTAATTTTATATTTTTTAGAGATACTTCAAGTTGAACATGGAGCAGCCACTTTGGCATAGTAGTTATGATGCCAGTTGGGATACCTGAGTCAGAGTATCTCAGCTTGAGTCCCTAATGCAATTTCTATTCTAGCTTTCTGCTTATGCACCCTTTGGGGGGCAGCGAATAATGGTTCAAGCAGTCGGGTCCTTGTCACCCATATGGAAGATCTGGACTGAGATTGAGGCTTTTAAATTTAGTTTGGCCCAGCCCCAGCCCTAGCTGCTGTGGACATTTGAGAAATCGAATCAGTGGTTGGAAGATTGCTCTGTGTTTGTATCTTTCTCTGTCTTCCTCTGTCTTCCTGCCTTTCAAAAATAAATAAATAAAAAGAGTTAACATGAGCTTTTTGAAGTCAAAATTTTCATGAACTTATTTGAAAGTTAGAATTAGAGAGAGATCTTCTATCTGCCGATTTCCTCCCCAGATGACCAAAATGGCCAGAGCTGGGTCAGGTTCTTCTGGGCATCCTACAGTGGTGGTAGAGGCCCAAAGTCTTGGGCTGTCTGCTGCTGTTTTCCCCAGGCCAATAGCTGGAACTGGATTGGAAGTAAAGCAACTTGGACATGAACCAGTACTCATATGGGATGGCAGTGTTGAAGGTTGTAGCTTTACCTGCTATACTACAATGCTAGTTCTGAAGTCACACTTCTTGCTCTGGCAAGGGTCCAGTTTATTCATAGCTAAGTAAACTTTGTGGTCTTTGATATCTGAGAGTAAATTAGTTTAAGAAGAAGATGAACTAAGTGATCATTTAGCCTCAGGATGGTCACCTGTTGAATGTAAATATTCTAGGTAGACAGAAGAAAGGGTCCCCTAGTGGTGATAGAAGGAATTAAGGCATGCAATGAGTCAGCACAAGAAACTCTCAGGATGCGATAGAGAAGATGGGTTATTTTGCCTAGAGGTTTCTCAACATATACCATTTTTAGATAATCACTACATTTCAGTTTTTTTTTCTATGAACAACAAGATTTTCAATATATGTTCCATGGGAGTTATTTTAATCTGACTAAATAATTGGCCAAAATAACTGAAAATGAAGCTGCAGTTAGTTGGAACCATTTCTTTATGACTTTCAAGTATCAGTGGGTCTGACTTAGTTACCCTGCAGGCCAATTTGGAGCAACGACTCCCTGGCTGCTACTGCAAAGAACAGATAGATCACTACTCCAAAGGATTAAAGCAACAGCCTCAAACAAGGCATACTGCTTTCATGAAAAATTGAGGAGTAATACCAAAATCTCATCATAGCAAACTTATTAGTAATGAAAAAAATATTTCAAATAAGTGATAGCAGAGGCCATTTAGAAACACAGTGAAAAGATAAAGATGCTTTCTAGATAGCTTCACACAGCAATAAGAAACAGGGTCTTGAGGCTGTAAGGTGAACCCGTCCTTTTACCAGGCTGCTCATCACTTCTTTCCCTTAAAAATTTCTTTTCTACTTTGCAACCCTTAATTGTAGTGATGTTTCAAATTTTAATTTTGGAAAAGTAGATGTACAGAATAAAACATTCAGGTTGTACAAAATATTAGACTCTAAAGAAATAGCTTTTCTCTCTCTCTTTTTTTTTGTTAAAGAAATATCTTTCTCACCCTTGATCTCCAGACCTCATTCCCAGAAATATTTAACATCATCCAATGGCTGAGGTTGTCATTGTAGGGACACGAGTCTGTGAAATTCCCTCAGGAATGGGCGCAGGGTCATTGCTTTGTGCTAAATTCCTGTCCCTGATGACCAAGACATTTATTCCTGGAATATGTATCTGTTCTCCTTTATTTTTAATCAATTGATACTGATGTTTCTATAAACTTTTTATTGAGTACAGGGTAATCCACTATATGAAGAAACCTTAATTCACCTAATTTCCTATTGATGAATATTTAGTTTCCAGTCTTTTGCAACAAACGAAGATAGTTTTTTTTTTGTTGTTGTTGCAGTGGATGTTCTTTTGCATATACCTTATGCATAGTCCAAGAAATCGAACTACTTGGTCAACTGCATTTTTACTTTCGATAGAAATGATCAGAGAATGACTTACACTTGCAGCATTGAAGCATGAGACTGCTTTTTTTCTCCAGGCCACCTTTTTCATCTTTGCTAATCTGATGAAACTAATCTCATTTTGTTTTAATTTCTTTATGAAAAAATTATTATTTTCATAGGTTTAAAGGCTATTGGTATTATATCAGTGGGCCATTTGTTCATGAACTTGGCATATTTGCAGTGATAGGTTACCTTTATTAATGCTTAGTCTTCCTTCATACGCTTCATTTTTCCTCATGTATGTGCATATCTAAATTTTCATATCATGTTGCTGTATGATTTTTAAAATAGGCAAGATATTACAGGTTTGTTTCTTCTACTTCAAGGCTTGTCTTGCATTGGGGATAATAGTGATTGATAGCTTATTAGATAGTGTTCTAGTGCTTTTCTTTACTAAATCAAATGTTTCAGTCATCTGAGATTTATAAATGTAATTTTGGTCCTATTATCTAGAAAGAAGTGTGTTTACACACATTTATGTGATAATTACACACTAAAATAAAAATGCTCTTGGTAGAACTACGACAATGCATGATAACTGTGGGTGTTGCTACCAAGTGAGGGAAAGAACTCTAATCCAAAGATACCATTTTCTTAATAGGTAAAAGAGACTGGGTTAAACTAGGTATAACTAAAGTTTGTTGGGTTCCATAGTTCTGTGATTACTTTCCCCTACGACTTACATAGTTCCATAATTATTTTCTCTATGATTTATTTTGTTGTTTTTAAGCTGTATCATCTTTATCTTGTTATTATAACTTATTTTCTTGAGTTTTTTGGTAAAATACATTTAACACGAAATATACCATCTTAACCATTTTCAGGAGCACTGTTCAATGGTGCGAAGTACATTACTTGGCCTGTCATCAGAACTCTTCAACTTGCAAAACTCAAGGTCTAAGGCCACTGAGCAAGCCCTCCACATTTCTTCCTTCCTTGCCCCGGCATCCTCTTTTCTTCTTCCGACTCTGGGAATTTGACTACCACAGGCACCTAATGTAAGTGGAGCTGTACACGCTCTCCTTTTGTAACTGACTAACTTAGCATAATGTCAGGGTTCCTCCATGTTGTAGCATGTGTCAGGATTTCCTTCATTTTTAGAGATGAACAATATTCCACTTCATGAATACACGTACATTTTTATGAGATCATGTCAGTAAACATGGAGGCTCTTTCCACTGTTTCGCTATTGTGAATGAGGTAAACGTGGATGTACAAATATGTCTTTTAGACTCTGCTTTCAGTTTTTCTGAATATAGACCCAGATGTTTGATTTATTTTAAAATATAACTAGAAAGAGAAAAAAAAAATGAACACCTTACCATAGCCTTCCTTTCCATATGCAAAAGATGGAGGTATAATCACTTTCCGCCTCTCCCCTGGGCACATGTCCATCATAGCAATGTCTAGGCCCTTTATGACTTGCCCAACACCAAGGACAAACCATTTTGGGTGGCCTTCATTTTGTGTCCGGCTGCAATACAAAATGATACTTAGATAAACTGATTTCAAGAGTCAGGTATTTATAATGTAAGATTAGTGTTCCCTAACCATCTCTTTTTCCATATTGGCACTCTTTTCAGGATCCTCTGGTGAGCTATTTGGCTCAGACTTCCCTGTAATTGTCAGAAAGAGGTATGGTTTGCCCAAAGCCAGTCATCAGGAGTCATTTCATTTTCTTTTATAATATTATCTTTACAAAAAACTATTCAAAAACTTTTTTATGACTCTCTAGCCCCTATCTGGCTGTCTGGATTATACAAATAAGTCATTTAACCTCTCAGGGTTTGTTCTTAAAAATGATGGGGCAGGGATAGTCTAAAAAAGGTCATTTAAATAGTAATTTACAATCATATCTTACTAAATTTTCCTGTTTTCTTCTGAGTGGGAAGAGCTAACTTTCCCCAGTCATATCTTTATAAGGTAAAATAGTACAAATGAAGAGAAGACATTCTTCCTCTGAGCAATCCATCAACAAAATCAGAACAAACAGCCAGGGCGGGGGTGGTGGCTGGGAGAGCAGGCATGGGGAAGGACAGGGGCTACAGCTCAGGTTAAGGGGTGTCACTGTGGCAGTGGCTTTGGGGGACCGAAAGTAGCCCTTAGCCTAAATCATGCTTCCGAAGGCCACAACAGAACCCTATGTAGTCAGTCTTCTGTAAAGAGATTCCGCTGGGGGAGCTGTGTTAACATCTTTACAGGCAGTCCGTTGATTTGGCTCTGGAGGTCCTAAGATAGTTGGTTAGATTGCGAACAGAAGGTGGCAGAGTATTTTTGATACTTTGTTGGGTCAACATTTTCAGTAATTTTAAACTTAATATTCGGTCTGTGGGGGAACGGCGATCTAGTCCAGTCGTTTTCCAATGGGAAAGCTCAACTCTGAGAGACCCGCGTGCGCTCCTGCTTGGGGGAGGGAGGCAAGGTTGCGTGCATCAACTGGCCGGGGAGCAGTGGACATCTCCTACCTGCAGTAGAATTTTGAGCCGTCTTTAGCCAAGTAGCCGTCGTAATGGGCATTTAGCAGGTCTCCCTTCTTGCTTGTCTTAGAACAGTTTTCTGGACGATGCAAAACTTCGATTTTCACATCCTCTGGGTTCTCCTCCTCCTTTTGTCCCTGAGCAGCGTAAAAGCTCCACAGACAAAAGAAAACGGTTAATCTGAGTAAGTAACGCATGGTTCTGAACCGTGGCCAGAAGACCCCCGCGTCCCCTAGCTCCAATCACTCGTTCCCCCGGGTTGCCCCCGCGGCCTAGTTACGACACGTGGCAGGCATTGTCCTACGTCACCACAGGGCCGCGCCCCGCCCCGCCCCCTCCTCCAGCTCACGGCCCCGGCCCGCCCCCGCCAGCCCGCGGCCACGCCCCTCCACGACCTCGACCACGCCCCGCCTCCTCCAGCCCGCGACGCCACGCCCAGCACCTCCAGCCCTGGGCCCCGCCCTCGCCCACGCGCTCCGCCCCCGCCAGCCCGCGGCCACGCCCCGCCCCCCCAGCCCGCGATCACGCCCCACCCCCTCCAGCCCTGGGCTCCGCCCTCGCTCACGCCCTCCGCCCCCTCCTCCAGCTCGCGGCCCCGCCCCGCACCTCCAGCCCTGGGCCGCGCCCTCGCTCACGCGCCCCGCCTCCTCCAGTTCCCCTCTTCCAGCCGGGCCTCGCCCCCCGGCCCCCGGCCCGCGGCCACGCGCCTCCGCCCCGCTCCTCCAACCGCCTGCACTGCGGTTCCCGGGTGGGGCCTTCGTCCGCCGGCTGTGGTGGCGACGGCTGGTTGTCTGTCAGGCGTGTCCTCGCTGAATCGCACAGCTGGTTCTTCAGGGCCTGGTGGTAACGATGTCATTCCCTATAATAAAACTGAAACGAAAACGAAAACGCCTGGACTGAGAGGTAGTACTTCTGGCCTCGAAGTGCTTCTAAGGCCAGTAAGAAGCGAGCAGAGAGGGGGCATTCTGGAGACCCTTTAATAGACATGCAGGAGGCCTGCTTGCCGCCGCCATGGCGTCTCTACAGAACCTGCCAGCTCCCAGCATTAGCCCCTGGGAAGGCAGTGAGTGACTGGCTGGAATTTCTGGCTTGGGTCTGGCCCAAACCTAGAGCTTGCAGCCATTTGGGGAGTGGACTAGCGGATGGAACAGTGCTGTCTCTCAGCCTTTCAAATACATGTTAAAAATAGATGTGGCTTTGTGCATGTTTTTGGTGTGTTCTTGAAGCTCTTTTTTGGGGTTTTCAGTTCTGCACTCTGGAGTTCCAGGCTGAGTCACACACCTGAAGCAGCCAGTTCAGGGGTTTCTGAGAGCCACCTGCAGGGTTCTGGACGTGCTGCTGGCTTGCGCTTCTCCCCCCATTACCGGGGTCCGCGATTTGCGTACCACCAGTAGTGGCAAACGCTCTGTTTTCTTGGTAATTCTGAAGATCTAAATTTGTCCACATTAGATGAGGACAGGAGAACAGTGGAGTGTTGTACCAAATTAAAATTATTTGAAAGGACAAAGGAACAGTTTCCATGTGCTAATTCAATACCAAATTCCCGCTGTAGCCAGAGCTAGTTGTCCCAGGCCTGAGCCAGTAAGTCCATCGGGGTCTTCTATGTGTGTGGCAGCGACCCAAGCACGCATCCCCTACCCGTTCCTAGGGAAGCTGGACTCAGAACAACCGGAACTGTAACCCAGCCACTACAAGAGTGGGATGCTGGTGTGCCAAGCTGTGTCTCAGCCCTGCACCAAACGCAGGCAAGCAGTGTTACCGGCAATAATTGGCAGCAGGGATTGGGCCATATCTGTGTCAAAACCCCACATTCATTTACTAAAAACCTTTCACAACTGAAACGTGGAATTTTACAGTGAACACCCTTAGCTACCATGAACATTTTATCATGAGCATTGAACTCTGTTCGGTTTATTACATGCTCATCTACCCACGCTGCGTCAGTTTATTTGTGAGCATCCAAGCTTGAGGGGAAGCAAAAAGCTTTCCTGTTAGCCTGGGTTAGATTCTGGGAAGGAAGGTGTTATTCCACCTCAGTGAATCTAAGTAAAAACCACAGCACAGGGCCTGCTGTTATGTGCTTTGCTTAATGTTTGTAAAATTCTGTAAATCTGTCAATTACATGATGACCTCGTCCAAGCAGGATTAAAAAGATCTCAAAATCCAAAGCACAAAAAAGCTAGGGATGAGTTTTCCTTCTTTTGAGGGCAAAACACCTACTAATTTTCTTGTATCAAACAAAACCGTGGCCACCCAAGATAAACAACCTGCGTCATAACAGTTCCCGGGGGCCTCCTGTTGGACCCCATCGGCAGCGTCTGTGAGGAGAAATTGAAAAGTGTTTTATTTAGAATAATTACCCAAAGGACCCGAGGCTTAAGTGACCGGAGGGTCGGGGAGACCCAAGTCCTCGCCTCCCAGGACGGGCGCGCAGGCCCGGTCTGTGGGGAGGGTCCTGGCCTGGAGCTGGGCGGCCGCCAGCGGCGGGGAGGACGAGGAAGGAGGCCGAGGGACGAGGCCGAGGGAAGCCGCCCTCCCCGCGCAGCCTCGGGCCCTGCAGCCGGGCCGCAGGCCGCGCCCGCCCCTCCAACCCCGCCGCCGGGGTGGGGTTTCCCGGGACGAGCCGGCCCCTTTCATCCAGGAAGTGAAAGCGACGTCGGGGTCAATGAAAACAAACGGGGAGCCCGGGGGAAAGGAAACACCGGGGCGCGGAAGTGCGAGCGGGAGGCCGGCTGCGGTCGGCTTGCTGTCGTTGTGGCGGTCGCGGCCGCCGAGGCCGGGCCCCGGGATGTGTGAGCCCGCGCGTCGCGGGCCCCGAGCTCCACACGGCGCTCGCCGTCCTGGCCTCTAAGAGCTGCCACGTCCCCGCGGCGCGTCCGCGCGCGGGCTGAGGGCGGCTGGGGAGGGGTCCCGGGAGGGGCTGCCCCGGGCTGCGCGCCGACCCCGTCCTCGCGGCCGGCGCCGGGCCAGGAGGATGCGCGGTGCCGGGCTCTGAAGCATGGAGGGGGTTCTGTACAAGTGGACCAACTATCTCACAGGTACCGGGGGCCCACGGGGTGCTCGTGGGGTCTGGGGCGGCGGGGAAGCTTGGGCGGGCTTAGAGCCGGGAGGTTGGGAAGAAGGCAGATCCCGGGCTCGCGTTCGGTACCGGTTCGAGGTACCGGTTCGACACAGTTCCATGGCAGAGCCCCTCTCTGTCCCCTAGAGGGGCCTGTCTGGCCTCGGCGGGAGAGTTGGAGACGGCGCACCTTCTGAGGGTGGCAAGCGAGCTCAACTCTTTTTGCCTGTGTAATAATACTTCCGTTGACCTCCCGACGCCTTCGCTACGGTTCACGGACACCCTGCCCGTGTGGCTGCCATCTCCGCCTTATTCACACTTTATTGTTAATGACTGTGTTGTGGGGATACTGGATTGGAGTGGACCCTTTTCCGTTCACAATTCAAGACTTTTTTTTCAGTTCAGTAAGGAACTGAATTTCCTTAACGGCACTGTTTTCTCTTTGAAGTTCACTTGTTGAAGCTGTGTGAGGGTAGCCAGCGTGGTTTTCACATCCGTTCTTGGGACTGCTATACTCGCTTAGGTTTGGTTTTTTAGCGAGAAGCACTGTTTGGGAATTCAGGAAAGTGAGAGATTGTGGGAGATGGTGCAGCAGGCGCAAGTGGGGCAGGCAGCGATCGTCATTCATAGAGTTGGAAGGAAGAACTCCACGGAGTTAGATGTTTGTGTAGAATTGATAGAGTAGCGTGGAGGTGTCCCATTCTAGGGCAGTGAATGCCTAGAATATTGAAAAAATAGTAATACTTTATATGTGAGTCCAGTGTCTGCTACCGACCAACGATGGAGGCAAGTTACTTGTTTTCTCAAGATCTCCCTGTTAAGACCCAGGTAATTATTTAGTTTATGCTGGAGGTAATTTCCTCCTCCTGGGTTTTGTTATCTCCCGAATTAGAGGAAAGGAGTAGATTTAAAATAAATTGAATAGTAAGCAGGTTTCCTGGTTGAGCAGCTGTTCACTTGCTATGTCATAATATTGGACCTTTCAGTATTGTACAGTCTACTGTTTCCATCTGATCTTGTGCAGAGTGTACATAGCACATGGTGTTTAAGTGCTGCATTGAAGATGGCCCTGCTTTTTGGTTAATTGAAACTACAAGCCAAATTTATGGCAGTAAATGCCATATTTATTATGCACCAGTGTTTTTTTTTTGCTTGGACAGAATCTTACTTCCATAATGATGTGATTAAACAGGAAAAATAAAGGGACCTTTTTTTTTTCTTCCATTTTATTTGGAGCACACAGAGTCAACATGAGCACCTGCATGTACTATCTTTAATTTATTGGTTAGTGCCCTAAGAACTTGCCAACAGCTAGCTAGTCTGGGCCAGGCCAAAGCCAGGAACCGTGAACTCACTCCCAGTCCTCCCACATGCAGGGACAGGACCCAGCTGCTTCAGCCATCACGCACTGCCTCACAGGTGTGTATTAGCTGAATCTGAAGCAAAATTGTCCTCAACTGAATCAGGCACTGTAGTGTGGAATGTGGACAGCTCCTGTTGCAACTGAAACCTGGAGCTAAGTGCTCGCCCCCAGGCTAATAACTTCCGCTAAGCATTTTCCCTTGGTGGTTGTGAAAAGCATTTGTACTGCCTGGTTGAGGTATTCTCTCTCTTTTAAAGATTTATTTTATTTTTGTTGGAAAGTCAGATTTACAGGGAGGAGAGACAAAGATTTCCCATCCACTAGTTCACTCCCCAAGCGGTTGCAATGGCTGGAGCTGAGCTGATCCGGAGCCAGGAGCTTCTTCCGGGCCTCCCATGCAAGTGCAAGGTCCAAAGTCTTTGGGCCATCCTCCACTGCTTTTCCAGCCCACAAGCAGGGACTGGATGGGAAGTGGAGCAGCCAGGACATGAACCCTGTGTTCATATGGGGGATCTTGGTGGATGCAAGGCAAAATCAAGCCACTAGGCTATTGTGCTGGGCCCTGAGGTATTCTCTGAAGACTAGTTCCAGTGTTCTCAATTGCACACATGCCTAAACTCAGTGTTTGCCAGGGGAGTCAATTATGCATACCTCTGAACAGTTGGCTATTACTGAGATGGGTTGTCATTTAAGACTTGAGATAAAATGTGGTCTCGGTAGTTATTCTCTCATTGGTTGAGGTTGTAATACAAGCTGGTTGAGCTTACAAAACCATAGGTGCTTTAGTCTTTAGTCTTTGTAGAATATTTAGTTGATCTCTAATATGCAGTGTTGAAACTTGGTGAAATCTGTTGTTTGAAAGAATTGCTTTTAAAAATTTGAAA